TAATGTCTAGCAAACACGCAGCAAAAAAAAATAGTTTTAATGCACAATACTTTTCGGTAGCAGCCCATTTACAGGTTTCAATTTCTAGAGTCAATGGAGACCATTAGCATCAGGTTTTTTGTGGTTAACAGCAAACACTTGTCAGGTGACCATGCATGGTCTCGCAGTCACATTTGCAGTTTGCAGTTCACGTTTGGACGGCAGCCTCTGGTTGTTTGTCCACTGTCCTCCCCTCTTGTACTTTCATTATTTTACAGGTATAAAGGGACTGAACTATTTCAGAATGGTAAGCATTCCAGGGACATAATTTGTTATTTTAGAAAAATCGAATTTTTAGAGCAATGTGCAGTGCGAAGATTCCCAAGAAAAAAAAGGGGATTTGCGTGTGGTAAAGGACAATGACTTGTTATTTTTTGGAACAACAAAAAACGTTTAGCTGAAGCAACTCACTGTCTTTTTAGCTTTTGCGTAAACTTCTTTCCAGTAACAACTGTCTCATCTGCTCCATCTCGCAACTTTTTTAAACGCGATTCTGATGAGATCTCAATTCTACAAATTAAAAGGGCCAACACATTAGTTAACATAACATACAGGTATTTAAGGTATATTATTATAAGCAAGTACATGTACTACAGTACCTACCAGTAAGTATATGAAAAAATAATTATTACAATGAATGAAAACAACGCCAGTACGTGTACAAACAATTATTTTATTTAATTCAAATGATTATCTTTAATGCCTTCTACAATTATTAATCAATCTTTATCTGAAGTGCATGCTAGTCTTTAAGAGCCTTCATGGCCTGGCTCCAGCATATTCACTTAATGAATTTAGCTGCATGCGCAATTTCCATTCAACACGCATTACAGAGATTTGCTCCATCTGCCGCTACAGCTGTAGAAGAGCCAAGATCTGGAACACGCTTCCTCTGGCCCAGCATGAGGAGCGAGCATTATTTTAAATAAGTTTGGGTTTGGCCTAAAAAGTCACTAATTAGACCCAAGCCAAATTGAGCCTCCAATACTTTTGCTATACTTAGTTGTTCCAATTTTTTTATCTGTTATTGTCTTTTGTGTTGTTTTTTCTTTCATCAGGGCCCCATTCAAACCAGCCTCACTGAACTGGGCACCCCAGACTAAATATTATTCAAAATAAAATAAATAAAATAAATCAACAACTTCAACTTTTGATATTTCCAAAATTTATGCAAACTTAAAGTTTGGGTTTAATATATTAGGCCTGATAGTCCAGATTCGAGTTTGCTATGAACGCTGAATAAAACTTTTTTGTGTATTTTATAATTTCAAACACTTATTTTGCAGAATTTGTGGACACCAGTATTTTACTTTATATTGTGGCTATTAAACTCTGCATGAATCTGCCAGCATATCTTTCTGATTTGCTGAAATCTATTCAGAAGCACATACTATAATATCTATTATACTTATTGAATTGGGCAATTCCAGAAAATATCCATACCCAACCACGGACGGCTTCCATGTCTTAACCCCCCCTTGCCTTCGGAAATTCCAAAATGCGTTTTCAAGGAACTCACTCTACACTTTCTACTCCAGAAATCCCACCTGTGGAATTCCCCCATGCCTTCGGATTTCCAATCGTAAATACCCCCCATGCCCTCAGAATTCCATAATCATGAAACCCTCCTCACCTTCGGAAATCCTAAAAGCCATCCGTGGTATATAGCATGGATATTTTCTGGAATCGCTCATTGTGATCAGTCAAGAATTCAGTCATAGATAGCAAATGACCAGAACTAATTATAATTTATCATATTTATTATTATTTTCATTATTATTATTATTATTATTATTATAATTATTATTATTATTATATTAGTGATAATCACTGTTAAAATCATATCTTGATTACTAGCTGGCATGTCTGTATTTAGAAGCAAAGGAGCAACACAATTCATGGGTAACAAGGTACCTTTCCTCATCATCAGCATCATCTTCCCAGGCCGGCTGTCGACCCTCAATCTTCTTTATCTCATAGTGCAATTCATCAACAACTTCATCATCCTTATGGTATAGAAAAGAACACATTAACATAGCATGCACTGCACTTGTCATGGAGCAACTGTCACTATTTTGTGCTATGAAGTAAATGTACATGACTGTATTTTGTACACCCCTTGTGAAACCTTTTTAATGTTTTTACTTTGTATCAAGCAACTATCCACTACAGTGGAACCCGGCCGCTCCTACATTTTTTCCAAAATTGACCTGCTTAATATTGATACCATGCAGCTTACGGACAATGCACACTTTTCTGTGTCCTGAGTCACAAACTCCCTCTTTAATGGTCAACCCATGTTTTGTTGGCATTGCCACTTCCGTAGCAACAGAATAATAATGGAATCATAATAAACGACAGAATAATGACATGGAATCTACAAATTGGGAATTTTCTCAAAATCAAGCAATAATTTGTTAAAATCCTCTACCTATAGTCTGCTAATAGTCTAGACCTTTGTCTTTATCTTCACAAGATTTGAAAAAAAGTCCATGAGAGCGTTTTTGAAATAAAATGTTCTAAAAATTCTGCATCCCAATTAACGCCTTTTTCACTTTCTGTTTTTTAACCATCAAAAATGATGATTTACAGTGCTGGTACAATCTATACTGTACTTATTCGGCTATGAGCCAAGCGAATTTTACACAAATTAAAGCTAAAGTTCAGTGAAATTTGAGCCAAAGAGGGGGTCTCGCCTTATAGTCAAGAGTTTGAAGACATGAGGAAAGACCCAATTGTACGTTTTCCTAGAGAAGGCCACATTTCTTTTTGAAATTGTGAAGTTTTACAGTAGTTAAAAGTCTTGTAACGAATGGCTCTCGGCTTGTAGGCAAGTGTTTTGGATTTATCTTTCGTTCTCGGTTATGATGATTCTACGAGTTTAAAGTTTAGGGTCTCGGCTTATACCCAAGATTGGCTTATAGCCAAATAATTACGATATTTATATAATATCTAACTTAAGGTGCGGTTCAGTTCTTTTAATAGTTGCATTTGTAAAATTGGCAAGCAATCGCTCTCTGCGATCACACATTTTGCTATTCTTACTCATAAGATATATTTGCTCATGTAAGCGCAAAAAGGTGTCATCTTGGTTTTAAAGCCACAGTTAAAAAATTACTTGATAATTTTTTTTGTCATTGGAATTCTTTGAGACTTTAATCATTGCTATTAAGCATTTTAGTGCAATTTAAAAGCCATTGAAAATCTCTAAGTTACCTAAACTACACTAAATTTATGGTGAATCTTTGTGCCTGGCTTTGTAAAGGTCATTGTTTATTAGTTAAATCATTTAGGGTTATGTTGTTTCACTTTAAGGCTTTTTTGTACCTGCATTACAGCCAAATTAGTTAGGGAGCATCAAATGCGAAGGAGTGAGACCTTGAAAAATTGGTGCGAGCCTCCTTAACCCCTGACCCTATTTAAGGACAAGGCAATAGAGTCCTAAAGCTTAAGTGTGATGTCATAAAAAACTGAATTTGTGGGACTTTTTGGGGTATAATTTATGAAAGAACAAGCCTACTTGCCAAAATTTAGTATTTGAGGGCACATTGTCTTTGAAATACTAGCCCAGTTATGCCCTGATGACTCCATATAAATCCTTCTAAATTTGACTCAGTTCACAGCATGTGGAACTGAGTCAAATTTAGAAAGATTTGTATGGAGTCAACAGGGCAAAACGAGACTAGTATCTCTGAGACAATTTGCCCCACAATGATAGTTTTTGGCCCCCAAAAAATTAATTTTTATGATGTCATCACTTTAGAACTTAATTGCAAACAAGAACTTACGCCCTACAAAATGACACCCTATCCAAGAGAAAAACAAAACCTAAGAATATTAAATTGCTTTCCTAATAGTCTAAGACTAATTCAGTCTGATGTACTGATGTATTGTTTCTCATCTATCAGGTTTTTACGCACTTAAATTAATTTTAGCTGATGTAATTTGGGACCCTATCTAAGGGGATGTTTACATGACACCGGGGCGACTTTTACGCTGGTGCAAGTTCACTCTGGTTCCCTTTCATGGCTCTGCATTTGTTTACATGATACCACCACAAAATACCATCCTGGCGCAAGTCGCCCCTGCATGAGTTCACCCCGGTTGTTGTACCAGAGCGAGAATTTCACTGCAGTACGAAATCTTGCAATGGTCTGCCAGAGGACTAGAACGGGTAGTGCATGCATAATGTTTGCGATTTTGAATCACATGTGCATTTTATCAACATGGAATGCACCTTCAAATAACCAAGATATGAAATAGTCCATCATCATGTAAACATGATATGAAATCAAAAAGTCATGCCATTACGAAATGCGCTCTGGTGCGAGTTTTCTCATGTAAACACCCCCTAAGGATCCCAGAGGGGACACAATGCCAATTTGGGCAAAAATAATACCTAATTTAAGGTTCGAGACCCTCAAAAACCACTAATACCCTATAGGGCGGCACATACATGTACCTATCTAACCCATATATGGGAGTGCAACCCGCCTGGGAAATAAAGCCACTCTCCATCACTATAAATTAACATAACTCAGGGTTGTCACTAAGATTTCAAGTTGCTGGGTAAATACAACAAGTAGGGGTTGGGGGGGGGAGATTAAACAGCTAGGGATTTCCTTTGGTTCTATTTTTCTCCTATCTTCCTATGAAAGTAGCCGGGGACCCCCTTCATAGTAGCCGGGGAATCGGAAATCCCTGGCCCCTGCCTCTTAATGACAGCCCTGCCATACTAAAAGACATTATTTTCGTAATCAACATTTTACAAACTAAGTGATTCATTGGGCACACTAATACCTCCTCACTTGCACTATCATCGTCCACAGAAACTTCGTTTTCCAACTTTTCTAGTTCCCTGATGGCATCAGTTTCACCACCGAACACAAGTCTCTCTAAAGTTTTCTCAGCTTCATCACCCGAGTTCTCACCAATCATTTGCTTTTTTCTCACTTTAGGGAGTGTCTCAACGCATTCTTCATGCTCGACCTGCCGTTTATCTTTCTTTCTAGACATCCTAATCTTGATCAACAGCGAACATCACTAAAAGACTGAACGGCCAGAAGCAGAAGCCATTTTTTCACGTGGGTTATTGTTCGACCGGCCAGCGGTTGTGCCTAAATTCATGGTAGGTACTTCATATATGATTCCGATAGTTCTTACCCAACTGACCTGGTGAGAGGGGTAGTACTTAAACAAAATTATTTCTGGCAATGAGAGTTCCTTTTTGCCTGTTATTTTGCCGTCTATTATTATTATTATTATCATTTTTTTCTTTTTATTTTCTGATTTATTGGGGTTTTTTAAAGCTTTTTATACGGCATGCATATATCATAATTACTGTACAGAGGCAAAAAAGTCACCCTACCCCATCCCCGTGGATCGATAGTCATTCTACTGAATTCTTCCAACATAAACATGGAGTCAACATGGGATCTGAAGTCCGCGAAGTCTTGGAAGCGTTGATTAAAAAAGTTGAAAACAGTGAAGTTTTCAATGGGTGCAAACCTGACAAAGATTTAGACGATGAAGACGTAGAAGAAATAATTTTCCTGGAAGATGTTCCGGAGACAAACCTTGCAGAACTGACAGCTGGGCGTTCTTCTTTTGACGATCTTCCAGAAGAGCTTGCTCTTAAAATATTTTCTTTTTTGACTTTTAGGGAGCTGTGCAAGCATGTCGCTCCTGTTTGTAGGCAATGGTTGTGTTATTCAAAATGCCCTCTTTTACGGCAAAGTTTGTCGCTTTTGGAAACTTATAGCTGGATAACTTCACTTGAGGAACTTAGCGAGATAATTCGATCGAACTTTCCTCTTCTTAAACATCTGTATCTTCAACCAAGAACTGAACTGACTTTGCATGGCTGTGTTATTTTAGCTCAGTCATGTCCTCTTCTGCAGTCTTTGTCATTATCTTTCTGTGGTCAAGTCACCAAAGATACTCTTGATCAGTTTGCCACGTTCTGTCCATATTTACGTGACATAAACTTAGAAGGTTGTGCTGTGACTGATAAGTGTTTGGAATGTTTGGAATGCTTACCTTTAAAAAGGTTAAATACTTCGCACTGTACTCAACTCACAGATTACGGACTAAAGTTTCTTTCCACACGATGTCACCAACTTTGTTCATTAAACTTTGATGGCATCCAGTGGATTACTCATGATGCCATAGCGGTTTTAGTTAAAAATTGCCAAGACCGTTTGGAGCATTTGTGGTTGGATGCAGAAAGCATGACAGATGATACAGTTCAGCTGATTACTAAATGTCGACGTCTTAAGTATGAGGCCATATTATTAAGTATAATATTGTAAACATGCCAACTTCTCTTAAGTCAAATCACAGGGATCCCTCACAACCTGTTTGTGTAACTGATTCTTTCGTATACCTTCTATTGACAATTGGTACCCCTTTCAGATACCTTGTTTACAACTTTTGCATCCCTTTTAACTGCAGTAAATGCACTGTCTTTTAAACAGGAATCAGTCACAAAATCAGAACATTTTCTTGACTTTATAAAGCCATAAAATTCATCTGTAAGCCCTTTTGGGCAAAATTCACGGACCCAAATGACAGATTTCCCTACCCTTTTATATGCTTACACTAGTTAAATCCCTACCCTTTCATATACCTGAAGCCCGAAAAAGACACCCCTTTTGGGCAGAGTCTCCCCTTATAGGCCATCATATAGAGTACCCCCCCGGGATTTACCGTTTGCTTCATCTACAGCATTATATCTTTAAATATTTGGATCGTATTTACAGTTTTTGAATGTCAAAATACGCAGTACAAGTACCAGCTAGAAACTGTCCATGTACTTTCCCTGTGGTCAAATGTGTGATTTTGGCATCCACATTCCTTGAGATAATTATATAAAAATCTGATGAATTCTAAATGGTGCCAAAGACATGCCCACAACCTATGAACAGTACTAAAGGTTACCAAAGATTTCCAAAGGTTGCCAAGGGTAGCATTGGCACCCCTGACCTTGTCGACATAGCACATTTCTACCTGTATAATTTTTGTGAGGTATTGTGACATCTTGCAGAGATCAAGCATGCCTTGGCAAGATTGTTTTTCATGTTAATAATTACAGAAACAGTAGCGCAGAATAGTGAATGAATGTAAAATATTATTTTATTGCATCATGCATGTGAGTTGGCAGATATAACTAATAACTATTGTGGTGGTTCAATTTTGACCCGGGGGGGGCTACTTGGGTTTATGTTTGCTGGGTATGTGTGGCTGGCCTCTCAAAGCCCTTACCCCATTATAGTCTATTTTTTGGCCAGTTATAGACCCCACCCTAGTCACTTTTTGGAAAATGTAATTTTTGCAATCACTTTCTATTTATGCATGTACCTTACCTACCAACTTTCTGATTTTTTAACCAAGAATCTTCCCATTTTGAATCCCTACTTACCCCAAAAATCCGAAAATTTACGACCCCATTCTAGTAAATTGATTGAAATGCAACCCCATTATAGTCAATCCAGTCGTGAAAATGTGGCCCCATCCATTTTGGTTCAATTTGTCCTTGATTTGAATTTTATTTTCCTTTGTTTCAAACTGAGTATTATCCATTTAAATAACCTAAGTAGGTAAAATAAAACACATTTGAAATATAAACCACGGATAAAATAATATTGAACCTTGACATAGTCGCAGACTGATTTCACATAACATCACATCTGCCTTATTGATATCCTAACCATAAATTTAAAGGTGCCCAACCCTGTAAGAGTTAAACCTTTTTCTTCTGTAAACACATTCTTTTGTTCCAACAACTTTGCATAGCTGCCACTGGACGTGAGCTCAAAATATACAGGTGTATTAGTATGTGCCTATGCAAACTATGCAGTTACATTGTCTTCTGGTGATAAGTCAGAGGTCAAAAAGCTTACTTCAGACTGAAACAGACAAGGTGACAAGACAATTAATTGGTGATCATTTGTTTAAAAAGGTTTTCATTCCCATACAATTTAAGTCTATTTTTAGTCTTCTTACAAAATCACCATAATACATCTAAGTATTTACATCATTTACTTTAGATACCCTAACATGCACACTGCATGCAGTCAAATAGTGCATGCTTTTCTTTTATTGGGTTGATCGACTTTAATGACATATGTTTTGTTTTATTCCGTCACAGATTTTTTGGTTTGTCATTTTGTGAGTCACTGACTGACCAGTCTTTACTATATGTACAGAATATGGTTAACTTAGTGTCTCTTAGACTGAAAAAGGGAAGTGAATTCTCAGGTGAAGCTCTGAAAGAACTATTTGTACAATTGCATCCAGAAAGGACAGGAAATCCCACAGGGCTGCTACACATCACTGTGGCTGAATGCACAAATCTTAATGATGCTGCTTTACATGCCCTGGCAGAAAGGTATTCATGTAAGCTAATAATTTTGGGTTCATTGATACTAGCTTAGGGCCAACTATAAGGTCCTATTTAATCGAAAAATATCTATTTTGCATTCCTATTACAGTGCAACCTTGATTAACTAACCTCCTGATTGTCCAAAATAATCCTAAATTTTCTGGGCTGCATAAATTCCTTTTTCATGAAGGTGTGGTAAATTGTCATTAAGATCTGAGGTCATGATTAATAATTATTATTTTCTTTTCAAGTGTTGAAATATATAACCTCCCTGCAGACATTCTTAGCATCTGCGGGGGAGGCTATGGAATATATGCCTTTGAAGTGAATTTATTTTCCTTTCTGAAGAACAAATTATTTGAAGTGTTCACGTGTGCGCAACATTTATCTGAACACTGGAAACTGAGTTACTCTCTTAACCACAGATGACAGATGAAAAAATTTTAGGCAATATTTACTTGTTGGACAATCTTCCATTGCAATGGACAAAAGTATAGTTATGAATAATATTCTAATTTTCAATCATGCAGACTCTATTTTCTGGACTATTAATTTACTCTAATCTCACTAAGTCAATATAATCAAGGATCCACTGTACCTCCGTCTCAGTGTCTTCCTAAACTAAGTTCTTTACATTCATTTTTCATGTAGAAAAATGCAGATTATTGTCAGATAGGAGCTATATGCAGTCGTCAATCATCGATCTGAACAGAGAAAGACATGCAAAATGTTATGAATATTAAAATGTATATGTTTAAAGTCCTTGACTGGAATCATACTCAACAAGCCAAATATTAATATACAATTAATACGCTATACTACTTTTCTTAGAGCCTTAACCCTTAATGTGCAAGGATAAGCAGTATCAAAAATGTTTTGGGTGATTTGTAAAGTAATAAATGGAGTGGTCAGAGCAGTACCTGACCAAAAATCCGGGGTCTTATGGGCTCAATTAATACAACAAGGTCAGTGTTATGAAGATTTACATCTTTTTCAGCAAGTTTGTTTTATATCTGAAGTTGTAGGTATCTGGAAAGCCTTGATATCTCCTGGTGCTGGGAAGTAAATGATTCTGGTCTAGACCATGTGGTCAAAAATTGTCACCGCATGGTTGATATGAACATTTGTGGTGCGAAAGATTTGCGTGGAAATCCTCTGAAAAAGATACCCCAGGATATGCCCATGTTACGGCAACTTGATGCTACACAGTGTAATCTTGTACCAGATGAGATGTTGGAGGAACTTGTATTTTTAATGCCATGGTTGACTGTCACTAATTATTATGGAGAGGACGTAAAACCTCCAAAACACAAGAACAGAATGCAGTACTTTCCCGCTCAAGAAGGGTGGTGTCAGTTTGCATTGCAAACAAACGATGTTAGAGACACATAAATTATGTGGGAAAAAGTCATGATATTAGAAAGCTGGATATATTACCCAACCTGTTTTTCAGATAATTCAAGTTTAAGTGAGCGTCCTTATGCCGTCTGAGACTATCAAGTAAGAAAATACCATTATAAATGATAATGCTAACTTATACCTGTTTCAAGAGATATGATCCTATACTTTAGTTATTTACAATAATTAGTTGCATCAAGCTTGCTTGTTATCTGTATAAGAAGCAGATTCCAAGAGTAACATTTACACTGCTAGTTTGAGTGTAAGGCGCCATTTATGTGCATGGAGAAAAATTGTCCCAGGTAAAATAGTTACCCACCTACCCAAAGCTACCCTGGTCGACCCAACTTTTCATACAATGAAAATTACAAAGAACTGTTTCAGCCCCAGAGTGCCAACTCAGCCCTGCAGAGCAAAGTTTGATTCTGCCTCTCCCTGAGCCATTTGAGCACAATTAAAGCCAAAACAGCCCCATCAAAGCCTATTCCAACCCACCCTGGGGCTCAGGCTGTAAGAATTTGTTTGTTTGTTTGCTAGATTGAATGGTCAGTAGGCTTATAAATTATGTTTACTTGCGTTCTTAGAAAACTTGCTCTTAATTATTTACCAAAATTTGGTAAAGGTCAGGGGCACCCAACGGCAATTTTCGGGAAAATATCTGTTCGGAAGACGATTTGAGATCTAGAATTTTCGGAGCATTTGTTGTAAAATTTCTTGCTTGCCTGCCTCTCCTAGGATTTTCGAACATCTACAAAATGGTATAATTACCCATTTTTAACGGATTTTGACCCTAAAAAAGGCCACCTAGAATTTTCTGGAGCCTTTTCCTGGCTGGAATTTTCGAGAAGGTAAGTTTTTATTCCTATAATTTTCGGATCACTAGACTTTCAGCTACGAAATCCGAACAGATGAAAAGTTTTTAGGGAATAAAAATATGCCTATATCTACCGTTTGAATACTAAAATACGTTCAACAATGCTATGTTAAGTGGTTTTGAACTATATCCTCGTTGGGTGCCCCTGAAAGGTACCTGCTTGCCGAAATCGCCATGCGTAAGAAACATCAAGAACAAAATCATATGACAAACAAACTGATTCACTGCTAATATAAAACACATTCTAGCTTGCATCTAAAATAACTTCAACAATGAAAACTGCACTTATTGCGTGTGTGAATTTCGTCGTGTGTTTTTGCATTTCAGCTTGAACCTGCTGAAAATAAACTCAAATGAGTTTTCCTGTTTGCAGTTCGGTTGAACAATTGAACAAATAGAAGAGTTTCTGCAGTAAACGTTTGCTAAAGTTCTGCAAGGTTTGCTTTCGTGGCTAATTTCTGTTTTCATTCACAGTTCTTTTATCGAAAAACGGCTTTCTAAATATTTTAGCTAATACTTTTCAGGAGCGGCGACCTTGTGAGCACCCCAAAACCATTTGGCAAAATGTAAGTAAAAACTTATGAATTTTTTTCGGGTCCAAATATTGTCTGCGTGTTGCCGAGAAACACTAGTTTAAATACAATTTACTAATGCTAAGTTTGCTAGGAGTCATTTATTTACCATAACATAAGCTTGATACTTCTTCTGGTTGCACAATGACTGGCTACGCTGTTTACACCGGACTATTCATATCATTAAAAAAAATTGTTGTCGTTAGTGTCGTCGATGATGGCACAACGGGAGCCTCGTCATGAGTTCTTCTCGCCCAATAACTATTTTCTTTAGTCCATGTTACTTTCGGAGAAACGGCGTAACTACCATAATTATTCTCTCTTTGTTTGCTCATGCACGTAACTTCGTATGTTAACTGTTAAACAAATGGTTGGTCATTCATCAAATATTATGAATCAGTATTAGATTCAAACTATCCGCCTCACCTACCCCTCCTCTAACCCAAGATTTTACCTTATTATGAAGTGAGGAGTTATTATTATTAATGTTGGGTTAGGGGAGGGGTGAGTGAGTGTCCGGTTTCCAAAATTGTGATTTCGAAAAAAATTGCTTAATCAGAAGCCATATAAGTTGGATCTGCTGGTACCACGCCTTTTACCACATACGCCCACTCCCTAACACCTTTATTGAAGCGCCGCGCACTCAACAGCTCATTGTTGAACTAGACATACTTTGATTCGGTAAGTTATTCATATTTAGCCTGAGGGCTCTTGTATTCACGCCCGAGGTAATGGCAAACAAAGTAGCGTCAGTTTCCAACGTACGTGCATGCACTCTTCTGAGTCTGATTCCTTGTCACTGGGGCTTGTTCTTAATAACGCTGAGACACACCCATTGCAAGACTTCACAATTACAGGACACACCCAAATGACGTCAAAGCATAGATTTGTAAGTATATTTCACTCTACAACTTTTTTCAGCAGTGATTAAGACAAGCAGTTAAATGATGGATATGGCAATTTGCCTCTCTTGCACCAACGCATCCAGTCCAATATCAAACGCAGAATTTGTCTTTACGTCGTTTAAGCCAAGCCAAGTTAAATTTGCCCCCTTTACAGGTGATAGAGTCCGTGGCGTGGTTAATTGCTTTCGTTGTTGTAAACCTCGTTGTATTTACGCTCAGAAACAACTCTCCACCCGGGAAAGAGATCTTCTCGAGGAGGTCACAACCAACAATGTGTTTTCTTGTGGATCACCTTTGTTACCACCGATACATCCACTTGGAGAACGAATCTCTATGAGGTTATTTCATTCTTGTGAAGATCCAGTTGAGGTAGCTTTTTACTGCAGTTATTTGGACTCCTCAAATGTCTGTTGTTATTGTGGTAGTTCTGACAAGAAACTTCGCGAAGAATTAGCCTTGCCTCGTCGCCAACACTTGATGCCTGTTTGTGAACAATGTAAATTGACTGGAAGGCAAGCCAGGTCTTTTTTACCAGAAAAACGAAGCAATAGGAATGAAGGAGAAGAAGATTCACATTTTTGAAAATATGATTACTTTAATAGCTTACTGTGGAGGTGTTGGGTACGCAATGATACATTTTTTTATAGAGATACAAAAGCAGATACTCATACTAACAGAATGATCATTGCAGAAATATTTTTCAACTGTATTACATTGTTTGAAAAATAACGTAATTATGCATTATGTTCATGCGTCCGCTACTGTATTTGTCAACTTTCTTATTAAAAACAGCCAAGAAAAGCATTGCAACCACCTGATAGCCTCATCATATTTCGTAAAGGAGAACGCATGCTTTACAAGCAGAAAAAAAAAGACATTTATTCGGACCACGTCAGACTGGGACGGCGTTTATCATTTGGGAAACGGGTAATTATTTTGTCTCTGTCCGGCAAAATAGTTTATGCTACACCTGATAACGCACGTCCCGTCAATATAATAATAATAATAGTAATAATAATAATAATGAGTAATAATGATGATAATAAATAGTAATAATGTTAATAATAAGTAATAATGATGATAATAAATAATAATAATGTTAATTATGACAATAAAAATAATGATGTTATTTATTAATTTGTATTGCGCAAATATCAATCCACAATAATTTTCACCTGCACGTTACATAAATCCTTCTTGATCATCCTGTTAAAAAAATCTGCATTTATATAATAATAATAATAATAATAATAATAAACATTTCTAGTACATCTCCTAATTCTAAAGATTTTAAAAACAATGACTAATTATTCTCAAAATCCTATTACAAATCTTCGTTAATAATTTATAAAATAATAATAATAATAATAATAATAAATAAGCTACGAAACGCCTTCCGAAATAAATGTGTTTTTAGTGCCTTTTTAAAACCATTTACTGAGGTCATGTAATTCTAATAAAAAGGGGAAGATCGTTCCATGATTTTGGGGCAGCCATAGAAAAAGATCGATAACCCAGCGTGGTAAATGACTTACAAGTTAGTATGTTCAGAAGTATGCCGTCATTTGATCGTAAACAATCTACCCCAGTGTGTTAAATAGATACAAGTTCGGAAATGTAAGTCGGAGCGAGTCCATGAATGGCCTTAAAAGTTTACAATAAAATTTTCAAAACTATGCGATACGCGACTGGTAACCAGTATAGGGCTCTTAGCAGTGGAGTAATATGACAAAAATTTGCTTTCTTCGAATACAAGGCGCGCAGCAAACTTCTGGACTCTTTAAACGTTCCTGAATTTGATAAGCCGGTAAGTCATATACCGTAAAATTCCGAAAATAAGCCCTTCAAATATAAGCCCCCCAAACTCAAGCTTGTACTTGGAAATTCGCCTCGAATACAAAGTAAAACAAAGAAAAACCGTAAATCTCCTTCCAAGAATGAGGCTAACCCAATCGATTTTGAGACGCAAATTTCCCTCCAAGTATAAGCATAGCCGATTTTGAAACCCAAACTTCCCTCCGTATATAAGCCCCTCCGAATATAGGCCCCTCCAAAAATACGCCCCTCAAATAGGGCCTTTGAAAAATAAAGCCCCGGGGCTTATTTTCGGAATTTTACAGTAACAGGCTATGCAATAGCAAGTTTCAAGTTTATTTATTACATAACAAACTATTTACAATCAATCTGACTGACCCGCAGGTAGCTACAAACTAATCGAGGCAGGTCAGTCTCACAAGTTCTAAATATTACAGATTTCAAAAAGAGTTGGAAAAAGAGATTAACAAAGTAATAGTTTTACAAAAACAGAGAGAAACGTATTAGTAATGTGGTTCCTCATTCAATCAAAAAAGGAAAACTAATTAATTAAAGGACAAAAAGAAAAAAAATGAAATAGTTATGATGATAGGTACAAGATATATATGGAGAGAAAAGTTGTAAGTTAATATTTTTTTAAACTTGGCCAGTTGACTCTTCGGGTCATTGTTTTCTTTTTTCAAAGACTGAATGGTAGATTTCGTCATTATCGATGTTATTTTCACAATAGTTATAGTGAGATTTTGCGGCCCGGCTCGAAAATTTCGTGCGTGTTACCTGGAGCACACACTCCGCGGTCTGGCCAATGCGGCTAGAAATAAAGGTATGTATCAGTGTTCAGTACATTCTTTGCTGAGATATTCCCTTATCCTACTAATATTGTACAAATAATTAATAATAGAATGATGCAGAGCTTGCATTCGTTATGTGATCACCCATCCGATTGATAGGTTAGAATCTAACCACCCACCCATATTCCGAACGGGAGATTGTAAAGCAATGATAGAGCGTCCA